GCAGGGTAGGAAAGATCCTTTTGGAGAAGTCAGTGATGAAGGAAGAAGAGAGGTAAGCTGGAAGGTCTATACAGTTAGAAAGAGTTCTATTGGCAGTGAAGACCTGGCTCTGAATGCCAGAGACCATCACACATATTCAAGGTGTGTGAGTGTGTGTAACACTTCCCATACTGAGAGCTTATAACATAAAATTTCAGCTATAATTGGACACAGTAGCACAATAGCATCTTTTTCTTCTTTGTGGTGATTAAATAGCAACAACAAGATTTGGACCCAAGGTCTGAGTTCAGAGTAACCTGCATAAATAAGGAAAAATTATAGAATTGTCATTATGCTRTGGCTATGACATTGGTCATGTTTTGCTTACACATGGGAAGTGTGCAGACTTGGGTGTGTTGCTCCCTCTAGAGAGGCCTCAGATGGAATACTAGGCAGGCTGTGTAAAGGCCTGATGGTGTCTCAGTGCCTCTGAGGACAAGGAAAGCTGCGCAGAGATGAAGAGTGGTGAAGTGTATTTTGGAAGCAAACAACATAAAAGTCATAATAAATACTCAGAACTCTACTGGACTAGAATTCCAGCGTGATCAGTTCAAACCCAGATGTAGATTTGTAAGAGATATAAAATGGAAGGGTATTGTTGCATTGGGACAAGGAGTCACATAAGGGTACTCAAAAGACAATTAGAACTTAAACCAAAGGATAAGTCTGGGACCTTGATAAAGGAAATTTCATCTGCTTTATTCATGCTGTCCCTGCATCCAATGTGGGTTTCTTTTAGGGGGATTCGTGGGGGCAGGTTACCGGGGATTGAACTCAGGGGCACTCAACCACTGAGCCACATCACCAGTCCTACCTATTTTGTATTTCATTTAGAGACAGGGTCTCTAAATGAAATACAAAATAGRACTGGTGATGTGGCTTGCTTAGTGCCTTGCTTTTGTTGAGGCTGGCTTTGAATTCGTGATCCTCCTGCCTAGGCCTCCTGAGCTGCTGGGATTACAGGTGTGCACCACTGTGCCCGGCTCTGATGTTTTTGATGTTTGGAAATGCAATATGGTGAGAGGTGGACACAGAAGAGAAAAACCTTAGGCATGGGGYTCAAGAGGTGAAGAAGAGCGCATCAGCCCCCTTCTCACCACCATGGTGATGGTAGAGCCATTCAGGTAATACAYAGGAGACCAGATAAGGCCAGAGCTGCCTTGTGGCAGAAGAATGGATTGGTGTTGAGTTCAGATTAATTTTCCTGAAAATTATTCCCACCTGGCAGKTTCTTCAATCTTTAGCTCTAGTTCAACTGTCAGCAGTTGGGGGAGGACACAGAGATTGTGTAGCAGGCAGGCTTCTGAGTTGGTCAAACCAGCTATTACAGTTCAGCAGCATGAGCTATGATCTTCTCTCAGCTTCTCTATGCTATGTATCCTTATGTGTAAAGTAGGGRTCAGAATAGTGCTGATCTCATGGAATTTATGTGAAGGATTAAATATAACACCATTATCCTTTATATACAAATGAAATATGTCATCTTAATTATTTCTTTTATAGTGATATCTTTTAATAGGGAGCTTTTTAAAGACAGGCTCAATGTTGTTGGTTTTTTTTTTTTTTTAATAATCTGAGCACTTAAGCCCTTAATAATGTTGGCTAACTATAATCAAATCATGTACCTCAGGCTGAGATTTCAAGAACTGAGTTGCCAGAGTGAGCAAGAAACTATGAAGACCTAGCAAATTGCTTTGCCTTTCCATGGTACAGACTCTGAAATCTCAGAACCGTGCAGCTTTCTCTGATTTGATGAGATCACTGCTTTTCTGTTCCTGCCTAGACATTTTGGAACTGCCTGTAGTTACCCCCCCCCCCCATTTCAGTGACGTGCCCTCACCCTCCCGGTTACGTGCCATCTTAATGCATACATATTTCACAGATTTACTCTTGACAGTTTTTAAACRAACCATCAGTTGCTTTGGCCTCCCATTGACCTGGCCTTATAGACAATTTCACATCTTATAGATCAAACAATTGGATRACTTCATAGGTAAAAGTCAATCAATTGTTTTAAAAACTATAAACGATGGGTGGTGTCATATCTTAAATTGTTGCCTTGTCTCAAATTTGGCTTATTTCACTTTATGAAGATAAAGTATGGTCTATAGAAAGTGGATACTAGATCTCAAGGTTTTTATTATAATGTGACATAAAGTTAGTGCTTACCAAGATTTTTTGATTATGAAACATTTGAATACACTTTTAGAGAAATCTAGAGGTCATAAAATGAAATTAATAAAGCTAATAATTTATTGTTCTACTTTTGCAGATATGTTCACTCCCTAAGAGTCTATTGAAGATGACTGAGTGAATGCATTGGTCATCTTGTTAAGCTGGCATACTCTAAGGCAGGATTCTATAAACTAGTTTAGGACCCAGAAGGAACAGATGGAAAAGGGAACCAGGTACTAAGATGAGAGGTGCAGGCATTGATATTCTGGTATATCACATCACCAGAAATGATTTGGCAATTGGACAACAGAGTTGTCTCTTTTATTAACACATTCAGACAGCAGCAGAAAAACAACCTTCCATTTGATTCTTACTGAGATTTATTGTTTTTAATAATGCCACTTTTCAGAAGTTTATAGTCATGTGCTCACGTAGACAGGCTGACAAAGTGAAAACTTGTATGTGATGCAAAGTACCTTTTGGGCCGTAGATTAAGACATAGATAGTGCAGTGACAAGTCAAGTCAAATGCCCGCAGCAGACAACAAATCCCAGCCTCCCCTTCCCATGCTCTGGCTCCCATTTTGCACCATTGAACCCACAATGGAAACCTGGCAAAACATAGAACACAGATGGCTACTGACTGACATGAAAAGTAAATTTTATTAAACATGTTTACATACATGAGTTGGAAGTTCATTTAAAAGCACAGGGGAGTGTTAAGACAAGTGGTCAAAATAGAAAGATACTATCCAATTATAATCATTTGATTGTTGGCCACTAAGACAGAACGGAATCTAGTAGAAGTGCACCAATGCTTCAGCTCCTCCTGCTCAGCCTGGTGAGCAGTGGTCAATCTGTGCCCTGTGGAATATTGGGCAGATAATTCTGGCATGTGTAAATAATAATAAATAATTCACTTGGTGCAGGCAGTATGTCTATGGATTAAAACCTAGTGTGTACACAGTGTCTACATGTGTTACAGCCCCACAGTAGGAATCTACACCAAAATATTTATTAGAAGGAATTTGGTCCATACTACATCACGTTTTCCAGAGGGTAAAAAATAAAGTCCATCTATAGACATTTCACCCCAGACCCAGACTGAGTCTGGCTAAAACCTGCAAAATGTCTATAACAAAAATGGATGGCTTAGATTTCTTGGTTATTTTAGTATAGTAATTATAGTAATTAACGAGCAAACTGTACAAGTACATGCAACATACAAGCTGGCCTATGTGGAACTAACATACGTTATTAAATAACCTTTGTTTCTTTTTTCTTTTTTTTTTTTTTTACAAAACGTGCATGCAGCTTTGAACAGTTCCAAGTCATGCTGCTCTATTTGTGTAATCACAAAACTGAATGACTCGTAAAAGGAGGGAGAACATATCAATGCACCTGCAGAGCCTGCAGTTTGTAGCACATATACAGAATGTCACAGGGGAACATCAAGGCCAAGGAAAACTCAAATGAAGGAAATGCAAGTTGAAATTTGACTTTGTTTTATTTTCTCCCAAAAAAAGTAAGATACTTTGCATTAAAAAAATCAAGCTTTGTGCTTGCATCGACCTCAAAGAAATGTAAACTAAAATTCAATAAAAACATTAGTTTAGTGCAGAATATTTCAACTGGAATTTCCAGTGGCATACTGAACAGCTCATACCGTGCTCTTTCCAGGGCAGATGAAGGTGTCTACACCGAGGCATGGCTGAGAAGCCTGGGTGTAACTGACAGTGTCTTAGGCTCAAGTCTATTTCTAGTCACCATTCTGGGAAGTCAAAAGTACGTTTTGTACACATGAGCATATTTTCTTTTGATATCAGGAAGAAAAAGGCATTACAAGGAGGGTTTTCAAAGTACAATTATGTGGTAAGTTTTAGTCCCCAGCATTAGTTGCAGATTAACTTAAAAGTCTTCCATGCGAAACAATGGAAAACACAAATTAATTTTCTGGAATGCAAACGGATATGTTCCTCATTTAAAAAGTAACTATGTGATAATTTATTCTGGAAGATAACTTTTTGTCTTTTGGATTTTCACACGTAAGACTTTGAAGAACTATAACATGAAAGTCAATGGAAAGCTTAATTGGCCTCACCTCATCTATCTCTTGAACACTTGGGGGAGATGCTACAGAGACTGCTTCAGCCCTTTTTTTTTTTTGGATACTTTTGGAAAAAGAAAGGAAGGGTCTCTGTTAGCATTACAAAGCCTATTTGGATATAGTAAAAAAAAAAAAAACAACAACAGTGGAAATAACAAATACAGTGAGAACAAATCAAAACAATAACTCAAGAAACCCAACACCAACAAACAACACACAAATAACCAAAACATACAAAAGAACAAAAAACCTTCTTAAACACCAGGGAAATAACACTGCGTGTGGCCTGTGCAGAAATGTGTAAAATACAACTTTTCACAGAGTGAGAGTTTCCAGTTTGTTCAATTTGGTGTATGTGCATGTGTGTGTGCAAGTGTGTGTATGTGTGTGTGTATGTGTGTGTGTGTGTGTGTGTGTGTATGAACTTGAAGTTTCCTCTTTTTCTATTTGTTAGAAGCATCAGTGACTCTCACTGGCACATTGATTCTCACTGTAATTTGATAGATTGCCTTGTTCTGTCATATGAAGCCATGTTTGAAACAACAATTGGGACATATTATTGAAAAACTACTACAAGCAAAACACAAGTTGATTGTCTGTCTCCAACAATGCTTTTGATCATGAAATATCTGGTATCCTGAAAGGTAGAGTTTTATTGGAATGACTCTGGTATGAGTTCACTATGATCGAATGCAGGGAGGCCCAGTTGAACTTTCCAGAGATGATTGGGAAGCCCGGCGGGTTAGGGGAGTGACTGTGGGGTCCACCAGTGATGAAGGTGGGAACAATTTGTACCATCCAATGACCATGCTGGAGAGATCAAGTTCTTCCAACAAGATTTGAGCCACACCCATGAAACATTTATGGTCCATTCTGCCATAGTCTCCCCACACAATCACCTGTAGAGACACAGAAACGCAACATATTTGAACTTTTTCTCTTTCACATGGTTGATGGGTTCAACACATCTATTCAGTAAACATGGGCCAGTCAGTGAAGGAGAAGAAATGCATTCAACTCCAAGGAGGAAGCATAGATAAGAAGAATTACTAATGTTATGGTGCTTAGAAACACTTGGCAATACTTTCAAATTTGAAAGAATGAGAGTATTATTATCCTAGTCAGTGAGAAGTGTTATCTATATAAGCTGTGCTAAAGAAATAAAGATCTATTAAAATTAGCATACTACAGTGACACAGTCACATCAATGTTTATAGAAGCTCAATTCACAATAGCTAAAGTATAGAACCAACCTAGGTACCCTTCAACAGATGAATGGATAAGAAAATGTGGTCTATATATACATAATGAAATACTACTCAGCCATAAAGAAGAATGAAATTTGCTGGTACACAGATGGGAATTGGAGATTATCATGCTAAGTAAAATAAGCCAATCCCAAAGAACCAAAGGATGAATGTTTTCTCTGATATGTGGATACTAACTCACAATAAAGGGGGTGGGTAGGGAAGAATAGAAGTACTTTGGATTAGACAAAGGGGGATGAAGGTAAGGGAGGGGGAATGGGAATAGGAAAGATAGAGAATGAATTGGACATTACTATCCTGTGTGCATATATGATTACACAACCAATGTAATCTACATCATGTACAACCAGAAGAATGAGAAGATATACCCCATATATGTAAAATATGTCAAAATATATTCTACTATTATGTATAACTAATAAGAACAAATAAAAATATAAAATTATGTAAATTCAACATCTTTCTTGTATAAATACTATCTAATAAGCAATGTAAATGACTATATAGTTCTAAAAAGTAAAATTTTTGACCTTGGAGGGCAAAGCAAACAATTTAACTCAGGGTACCAATGAGTGCATGCACCATCGGTATATAAAAATAATAACATTATTTACTTCACTTTTTTATATTATAGACTTGGTAGTAAAGTGAAAGATTGAAAAATGACTGTGAGCTGGTGGTACCTTTTGAGGATTTGCTTAACAATTTTGATTTGATAGGACGTTAATAAGTAGTTGGCTCATTGATAGGTATTGCAATCTGGATGCTCTCCCACTGCTGTTGGGTAAGCTTTCCATCACATGTAASGCCCAGGCTCTATGAACATTCTTCAGTTATCCATCAAGGTTCTCTACTGAATGCATTCAACTGCTTTACACAAAGGGTTGGTGAATCCTGCCATTGCAACTTACTGAGTAACTTTCCCAAATTAATCTCTGTGCTCCTCAGACATAGTCTTTAAAATGATAACAATATTTATTGTACATGGTAGTTACAAACTTTCAAAAGAGAATGGTATATGAGCACCCATCAAATCTATCCTGGGTTCACCACGGTGCCTATATGCTTCTCTTTTTATTCTCCTTTCTTCCTCTTTTTAGTTTATGTCTGGTACACAGTAATTCTCATCTATCTATCTATCTATCTATCTATCTATCTATCTATCTATCTATCCATCCATCCATCCGTTGAGGAGAGGAGAAGGATGAGTCAGGGCAAAGATAGAAGGAGAGGATGGAGAAAAGGGAGAGAGAAAATAAAAATTTTGTTTTCCACTTAATCCATCAGATATTGTTGATACTATATATTTTTGTATCGAAAATTAACTACTTGTGGTTATTTTTTCTATGCAAGAATATAATATTACCTTTACTGAATTTTATTCTTTTCATGTTTGTCCATGCCTTTGGTATTTATATGGTTAACATAGAAATTATAATGTCAAAGGCCAAATTATTACTGACCTGAAGAACTTTACCCTGTGGACTTTCATCAAAAACCAGGGACTGCTGATACAAAGGATCAAGGGTTTTCCGTGCAATTCTTGTCTTCTTCTTGGCTATACAGGCTCCATTTTCCAAAAGATAAACTTTGACATATGGTGCTAAACAAAGGTAGATTAACAAAAAGAAATTAGTATTTGGATGCACTTTTTGTTTTTAAATTAGAAAAYACCTTATTAGAGAATTAGAGATGCTTATTGACTATGACCCATTAACTATTTAGATCACTTGAAATATCCATTGCTCTAAATCGAAACACCTACATATTAGCACTACTGTCATTTTCCTCATTTTAAACAAATGYATACAAAGTTATCTTGAAGACTTTTGACTTGCTTGGTTTATGGCAGGCATTACAATTCAGGTTTATATTTTAAAGATTTTAAAGCTCACTTTAAAATTAGAACTAAATTCTTTTTTCTTTTTTATTTACAAATATATGGAAAGAAAATAATTGATACAACTTAAGAATGAACTGTATTTAAACTTTTAAAAATATGACGATACYCCTTCTAATATCTTCTAGCAGAATAATCATGCAAAGAAAATTCAGGTCCACTTTTATACAATCAGAGATCACAGAGGAGCTGTCTTTTTAATCAGTTGGATGATGCACAAGCAAGCATATAAAATCCAAATGCAGCAAACGTCTCAGGGTTCTGCCTAATATTCACTGGACCATGCTCTGATGTTGTCTGTGTACTTATTAATGAGCAGAACTTTCCCTCACCAGGTGTCGATTTGGAGCCAGGTTTTTGCGTCAGGCTTCGTGCTCTAATAACTTCAACTTCTAATTGGCCCTTTTTATCCTCCATTCCAATTTGTATATCACCTGCAAGTGGAGGCAAAGGAAAATGTCTCAGCTTCTTTGCAGTTATGAGCAATTAAAAAGCAGAGGCCCCTAACAAAYTCCAACTATCTTTATGATCTTTAAAAAGAAATTAATTTTAGGAGGGCCTGCCCTAACTCACTTTTCCTTCCTGGTTTTCAAATCAAATTTTGATCTTTCTCTGTACTAATCCATTTTAAAAGCTTCATGAATTAGTTGAAAAAAAATCACCAACTACAACACTGAAGGATTTACATGAGTCTATACTCTAATGAGCTCTTTCCTCTATTGTCATCCATTTGCTTATTGGTGAAATATTTAATTATTTGTCTTTCCATTATTTATAGAAAACTATCATTAATATTTTGGTGAATATCATAGTAATCTCGTAAGTACTTTTTTCTGTCTTTGCATCTATGTATCATCATCTATGTATCATACATTGTCATTTTATTGACAAACAGGCCACTGAATGGATGTGTATTTACCTATTTAACCAGTCCCCTATTGATGAAAATATGGGTTATTCATATTGTTATGATTATAAAAGCATTCTGCTGAACAATTTTAGAAGAATTCTTGTACACTTGGTCAATTATTTCTTGAACATTAAGTTCCTGGATTTTAAGTGTATGTATCTAYGGACACTCATAAATTCCATGTAYATCAGCAAACATCCTTTAGAAAGCTATAACATTTCTTTAGAAAGGCTGTCACTAGAAATATCTATCTTCCCATTTCCCATGCTCATTTAAAAAAATATTTTAGTTGTCAATGGACTTTTATTTTATTTATTTATATGCAGTGCTGAGGWTTGACCCYAGTGCCTCACAYATGCTGGGCAAGYGCTCTACTACKGAGCCACAATCCCAGCCCCTCCCATCCTCATTTTGGTATGAGGAATATATCTAAGTTTTGTCAATCTGATGATTTAAAATTTATATTAATTTGCATTTCTTTGGTTATTCGGGAGGCAGAGGCTTATGTAGCCCCCTATAGTTTGATATGAAATTAGGTTAGCAATTAGAAAGAATAGGAGATAGGTCCCTCATTTTTATTTCTTTGGAATGTTAGTTCCAGAATTTTCATGTATCCTGCATTCACATTTTTTTTTAGAATTCATCTGTGAAAACATCTGGACCTATCCCCCAACCCCTCTGCTAATTTTTAGTGGGTAGAATATTTCATACTTATACTCCTATCCATGCTTATACTTCTATCCATGTTTTTTCTACCTTCTATTTCCTCTTAAATTATTTAATGGGTTATATTTTTTWAAATATAGATCCCAAGACAGATTTCCAAATTTTAGACACTTGTGTAAGCAACTTTCTTTCTTCACTTAATGTTTCTTAGACATCCATCCAAGTTGATGTATAGACATCTAGATCTTTCCTTTCAGTAGCTATATGGTAATCTATTGTGTGACTATTCCATATTTTATTTAACTAATCTCCCTTTGGGGGTCTTTTTTCCCCTCTATATGGGGCCATTATAAAAAGTGCTGCAGGGACTGGGCCTGTGGCTCAGTGGTAGAGCACTTGCCTAGCATGTGTGAGGCCCTGGGTTCGATCCTCAGCACCACATAAAAACAAACAAATAAACAAACAAACAAACAAACAAATAAATAAATAAAAGTATTGTGTCTATTTACAACTAAAAAAAAGTGCTTTAAAGACAGTTTTGAGGGTACATAATTAGAAGTGGAACTGACTGGTYATAGCACATACACATTTTCATTTTTATTAAATATTGGCATATCATTCAAAACTGGGACTGAATCAGTATTTAACTTCCAACAATCATGTATGAGGATGTGTATTTCTAAAAGCATTTGTCTTTATACTGAAACATTTTTTTCCTGGTCGAATCTGGTGTGTGTACACATGTATAAATACATATTTGTATAAACTCTTATCAGACTAAGTAAGCTCCATTCTATTCCTAGTTTACTTAATTTTTTTCTCAAATTTTTTAAAATTGTAGATTGACGCAATATCTTTATTTTATTTATTTTYATGTGATRATGAGGATCAAACCCAGTGCCTCACATGTGCTAGGCAAGCACTCTACAACTGAGCCATAACCCAAGCCTCGAAATTTTAAAATCATAAATGAATATTGAATTTTATCAAACATTTCTTCTGCATATATGAAGATGGTCACTTTTAGTCTTCAATTAGATTAATGTGGCAAGTTATATCAGTTTATAAAATATTAAACCAGCTATGTGTTTGTGGAAGAAATACTATTTGGTTGTGATATTATTATTTTTAATATTGCTGGATATTTTTGCATAAGGTTCGTAGGGACTTTGGAAAGTATGACTGATGTTTATTTCAGTTTGGAAAATTTCTCAGTCATTACATTACATTTATTTATTTATTTATTTATTTATTTATTTATTTATTTATTTATTTTGGTACTGTTGATTAAACCCAGGGGCACTTAACCACTGAGCAATATAATCAGCCCTTTTTATATTTTTATTTTGAGACAGGGTCTTGCTAAGTTGCTTAAGCCCTCATTAAGTTGTTGAGGCTGGCTTTGAACTTGCAATCCTCTTGCCTCAGCTTCCTGAGCTACTGAGATCACAGGTGTGTGCCACTGCCTTAATCATTGCATTTTTAATTGTGTGTTCTGCATTATACTCTCCTCCCTTGTTCTGGAACTTTAATTGCACATTTATTAAACCTCACCTTTTATCCCCATCTCTTAACTTCTTATTTATATTTTCCATTCATCTACATCTGTGATAAATTCTGGATAACTTCTTATGGCTTATTCACTAGTTATTCAATTCTCTCCCCAGCTCTGCCTAAAGTACTGGAAACTCAACCATTCAGTTCTTAAGCTTAGTTATGTTTTTCAAATCTAGAATTGTCGTTGTGTTCTTTTTAGTGGTTTTTATTTTCTAATGTCATTCACCATCTTTTTTTTAAAGCTCTTTGAAACATGTAAGTCTTTTTAGTTTAAATATTAACTTTAAWATCTGGAATCATTTGAGTTTTTTCTCCATTGTATGCTGTTTCTACATTTAAAATTATTTTGGTTTTCCTTTCATGTGTGCCTGGTGTTTGTGCTGTATGTCTGAAAATTGTTTTTAGAAAAAAAAAAGTTGTTACTTAGGATGTTGTCTTTATCAGAAATKATTTATTTTTGCTTTTGCAAGGTGTCTGCAATCTTGGATCACTTTAATCAATATCAAGGACTTATGTAATTAGAGCTCTAGCTTCTACAGAGTTCCACCTACTTCCAATTTGCACAGATTTTCAGGATAGAGATMTTTCAGATCCTAACAGAGAGCAAGRACAGATTAATAGGCTAACTTAAATTCTTGGCCTAAGTCTTACAAGTAAGAAGATACACAGCTCAGCTCCTTAGATCCTCTGCAGGGAAACACAAAACAGTAAATCCCTCCAGTACAARAGTAGCTGTGGACATAGGCTCACCATTATCCAAGGCATCTGTACTCCYCAGGAGCCAGGCACTGAAGCAAACATGTAGATATTCTAGGTATTTTCAGTAGGCGGTTTGGTATGAATTACCTACTTCACCATTGGTATAGCCAAATTCTCTRTATCTTTTTTGTCAGTCTTTTTATTATTTATTTTTGACTTTATATTTATGTCTGGTGAATAGTAACATATAGCTGTTTTGTTTCTTCAATATCATTGATCCTTTAATRTTTGAGAAAAACTTATTTCATGTATTGAGATTAATTTTAAAAGTAAATTATTTTTTGTTATTTTGTATTGTTTTTAATTGACCTATTTTTGTTCCTTTCTTTTGTCATATAAGCACATTAATTTATTTATTTTGTCCATCCCTTTACTAGCATAGAATTGGAATATTTTATTTATTTTATTTTAGAGGCTATTAAATATTTAACACATGGACTCCTATTTTTATATTTATACCAAAATCCAAAATTAGTGTTTCTACTTATTCCCAAAAAAGAGAAAGATCTTTAGAACTCTCATGTAGATTTTAACCAGCATCCTCATTTTATTTTGTTCTATATTGCTTTTTTCCTGGGTGCTTTTTCTTGTTTTGTTTAGGTTACATAATAATTATTAATTCAGTTTATTAATGAACCAAGTTTCATTCATTTCTTTCATCATTGCTCCTTATATCTTTTTAGTTTATTCKTCTTGCTAAAGTATATCTTTTAGTAAAGAGTGTTAAACTTTGAGTCTGTGTGTAAATATGTATGCCTCTATTTCATYTTTATTCCTGAATAAAAGTTGGTAGTTCTTTTCTTCAGCATTTTGAGAATCAGTTCTTTTAAAGGCTTTTTATTTATTCATTTATTTATTTTGCATTGCTGAAAAATAAAACCTGTTGATTGACTTTGTTTCTTGGCAAGGCAATCTTCTTACCTTCCTTATGACTCTTCTTCATGACTTGAGTTGAGGTCCTAAAATATCTCAATAGTGCATTATCCTTTTTTTGTTTTGCAATAATCTTCATTTCAGCACTCAGTAGGTTCTTTCTTTATTTTTATTTTTTGTAGTTGTAGATGTATGCCTTTATTTTATTTGTTTATTTTTATGTGGTGTTGAGGATCAAACCCAGTGCCTCATGCATGCTAGGCAAGAGCTCTGCCACTGAGCCACAACCCCAGCCCTCAGTAGGTTCTTTCAATATCTCAGATTTCATATTTTTCTTGAGTGGCTCCACTGCCATTATTGTGTTTTTTCTAAAATGTTTCTCTATTCTCTCTTTGGGATCCTATTAGCAAAAGTTTGAATTTGTTAGTTTATTCTCCCTACATTTCAAATTCTCAAATTCAGGCTGAATTGGGGTGATTTTTCTATGGTCCTCCTTGCATTTCACTAATTCAATCTTTAGCTACATTCAGTACATCATTTAGTTCATGAACCAAGTTGTAAATATTAATCATTATAGTTTTCATTCTCCAATTCATTTTCTTAAAACTATATTATTGGTTTTGTTTAACAATCTCTTTGTCTTTTTTCCTGTGGATTACATATGAAACTTTATCTCTGAAAATGATATTATAACTAAGTTTCTAAGTTATTTTTAGTTGGCTTGACCAGCTTCTCAGGTGTGAATTCTATTTGCCSTATCAGTTGATTAACTTCATTGTTCTAGACTTTCTCATTAGCTTCATGATTCTGTTTTAGACTTTAGCTCCTAGAGGTCTCTTATTTTTTTCATTTAAACTTTTAAAAGGTTTTTATTAATCATATGGAGAGAGTATACATGGCCAAACAGCTGTATAAGATCTATTTTTAGTATAAATAACGGACAACAATTCCCTCTCAACTTCTGGCCTTCTAAAAGTCACTTCTCAAAATTTTCAATATTTTTATCTAATTTTTTTGGCATTTTCCTGTTTTTAAACACTAGTTTTAAGTATTAMTAACTCCCAATTTTGATCTCTTTCAACTGTCTTCCTACCTATGCCACATACCTGASAATTTCTGTCATTCCAGTTATCCCAATATTAACATTTATATAATTATGATTATGTAACCTTATTTATAGCTGTATGAACCAGAACACTACGGTTACTTCTCCTTTTTTCCATACTTAATAAGTGTCGTTTTATAAAAGCCTTTTCTTACATTTTTATCACTAATTCAAACCCTTATTCTCTCCTTGTTGTTTGTCTTCCATAAAGCAAAAATGTTAAGTATCCTATAGATTTTGCCTTATAAAACCTGACGTGCTACAGTTTGTACAGATTCTATTAAAATCTTTCTATGCTGTTATCTTTAGATCTTTCTGCACTGTCATGCTGAGTATCCCATAATTATCTCCTTTTTGTGAGAAAAGGGATTTATTCACTGGATCTATCTTTCTCTTTTTTGACTCACAATTTAAAAAGCTCACTTAGTTCATTTTGTTGAAGTAAATCCTCTATATAGCTTTCTGATCAGTGCTGGATATGAGGAGAATAACTCGAGAATTTGCTTGTCCAAGTATGCATTATTCTATMCTCAAACTTATTTGATAATTTGGCTGGATCTTATGTTCTAGATTGGAAATCAGTTGTTATTCAGCAYTTTGAAGGTATTGTTTAACAGTCTTCTGGTTTTCAGTATTATTATTGAAGAGTCCAATAAGAATCTGATTTYTTGGTAGATTTGTATARCATTAAGTTGTCTCTCAGGAAAYTTGCTTGATTTTCTGTTAATTGCCAGTGTTGCAAACTTCCACGATGATGTATATCTTTCAGTTAATCTATTTTCATCCAGTTTGTTGGGTATTCCATGGATCCTATCGGGCTGGAATCTCTTGTCACCCAGGAAAATATTTGTTGTAGTTTTGTTACATATAATTTTCTCCATTTATCATCTTTTTTAAAAAAGTTTACTTCAGAGTATAYTATGCTAATATAGGYTGAATGACCTTTATCCAAAATRCTTGGAACCAGAAGTGTTTCAGATTTCATATATATTCAGATTTTSAAATGTGTGCATATGTATATCATATGTATGATATACATATATYATATTATTTCATAAATGAAATTCATTTATGTTCAAGTATATCTTATATATATAGCCTGAAGGTAATTTTATACAATATTTTTACTTTGCTTATGTTTTATCTGGAAGTTGTTATAGATATTGAGATGCTCAACTTATAGATATCTATGTTWTCTTTCCYTTTATTTTTATTTTTTTTGAAACCTGAATATTTTAACTGAGGAAAAACAAAAACCTAAAAATATACACAGTAGGCCACAATTATTTATAAACACATATGTTTCAAYTTTTCTATTAGGAACAGCAATTCTTAAACCATAATTGTCTAATGCCATCTTCTATAGCATGTATGTATCCTCCTTGCAACCAAAGGTAATTAATTATCTCTGAGTACATAAACCTAAAATTTGTATTAGGACTACCTAAACCACTGTGGCAGTRCTGAGACCACCATATAAAAGGAATGAACACAATACCAATATCTGTTGTTTAGCATAAACATTACCTTTTCAATTTTTTTAACTCTCCAACTTCAGTTTGATCCTTTGGAAGTTCTTGCTCACTCCAAGATGAAGTATTTTCCAATAATCTTTGTCTAACCTCCTTTTTTAAAACAATTGATTCTAAAATATTACACATTTTTTAATAAGTTGTAAAGTATGGAGGCAATTTCTTTAATTATTTTCCACATAAACAGTTATGCCAACATATTTTTCTGAGTATTCCATCTCTTTTTCTGCATGCTGTGAAATGGCACCTTTATCCTATATTTGGATCTACCATAGAATCTGTCTTGATAGAGTTTTATAGTCATTCAAGGTTTATGGCTCATTTTATTTATTTTGTCTAATTTCTCAAATAAGAAAAGTGCACTAGAAATTAGAATAGTCATTTGTAACCAGGAACACCMTAAAGTATTGTTTCTAATTTGTATTACTGTTACACTAATTTATAYGATTTTGTCAACCATGACACATCARCTTTTCTGTARGAGAATGATTCTTACCCATTGCAGGGGTGGCAAGGGTTTGGCGGCCAACAAGCTGGGCTGGTCCCAGTCCATCAAGAAAATCACTGAACTGACTGTCAGCTCCTAGTCGCACTCCAGGAAATATTAAGCTATTAGCAAAATGACAAAAACAAAAAACAAAAACAAAAACAACAAAACAAAAAAAAAGACAAAATGTTAGTTCTCCCACATTTATTCTTTTCTGTGGTGCTGGGATCAACTCAGGACCTTGTGCAGCCTAAAGTCCTGAGTTGATCTAGATTCTCTTTATTAGTTTCCATTTGACTAATTCTGATCATGAAACATAAACACTACTTAGACAATCTGTTTACTTACTATTTGCATCGTCAGTAAGAAAARGTCTAAAGTTAAATTTAAGATCAGATTCAGGAGTTGTTTTTCTTTTGGGTACTGGGGATTGAACMCAAAGGCACTTAACCACTGGGCACAACATCTCCAGCCCTTTTTATTTTTTGAGACAGGGTCTCACTAAGTTACTTAGGACCTCGCCAAATTGCTGAACCTGGCCTTGAACTTGTTATGCTCTGCCTCAGCCTCCTGAGCTGTAGGGATTACAGGCTTGCGCCACTACACCTGGCAGGAGAGTTTTTAATATATTAAGTGAACACTTCTAAAACCATATCCACATCTCTACACAAATGTATTACTGACATATAAGATGTAAATTTTAATGTTATCRATCTTACATAGATAATTGCTCATGGACATTAAGTAACATGATGTAAAAATTTAAAACAGTGGTTAACAATTTCTTGAATAAACATTACATCACAGTACGAGTCCTTCTTTACAAATAAAATGTATAATTTATTCTTTGAATGAATTAAATGTTCAAATTATTTGAGGATTTTATTTAATCCAAATGAAAATCAGTTGGCTAAAACATGTCTATTTCTTTCAACAATATGACTGACTAAAAGCCTAAGTGTATAAGCCACACAAAAGGGGTGACTGTGTTCTTTTTGTTTATTAATGCAACTCTCTCTGAKGAACAAGAACCATGCTTGTTACATAGCTGGCTTTCTTTTTGAAGTAACATATTTCTTTATGGCATGGCTTTCTTTTTTCTTTGTGCTTTTACACATTAATTTCCTACTGTTCAAAAAAATTGAACAGTATACAGAATATTATCCTACTCAGACTAARAAAATAAATCTCTGAGAGTTTAAGTGGTTTATACATGGTAGACATAAWTTTTTTTTCTTTCATATCAGAAAATAGTGTCTTTCATCTTTCATTTGCACATTGGGTTATACTACATTATCAAACTTTGGTATTTTGTAAGCAAGTTTATCTCAGTAACTTTCACATTTGCTTTTCTTTTGTTCTTAGCTATACCTTGCCTGAAGCATGCACATCAATCATTTGATCAAATAAACAGGGGCCAACTAGTTTCAAGAATGGGAAAGAGTATCATAATTGTTAACTTGCATAATTTTATTTCATTGTAAAAGCAATATAGAAAGTTTCCAGCAAAAGAAAATGAAATTTTAATAGTAGATTGGATACAAGTAATTCTAGTAGTAATAGATGAATAATTATAAAAAAAWTTGTGYATGGAGAATCTCCRTGTAACCCACTGAACCTAATAATTATTTATTTACGGGTACTACTACCCAAATGAAAGTTCAGTTTTACCAGAAAAATTCTTAAGCATAGGAAAATGCAGATTTTGTTTATGATCCATATAAAATGGTTAAGAACTACATAAATAAACTCAAAATACCTTTTTTCATAATTAGCTAATTTCAGAACTAAAACTTCAACCATCAAAATAATGAGGTAGATAGATCCTGGAGTATTTTCCCCCTAGGATAAAAATGARTTAACAATGTTTTAAAATCAAGAAATTGTAAGTTGCTTACAACAACATAGAGCCGGAATAATTTGGAGAAACCTAGGAAAATCAGAAATTAGTTCCTCACTTYTGAATTTTAATTGAGATTTTGGTGACAGGGCATACTATGAATTTTCCTAATAAAAGAATCCATTAAATGTAGCATTTCTATACCATATAATCAGAAGATTCATCAAGTAAAGATTAGCTTTACTAGATAATGTAAAATGGCTTATTTAGAGTAACTCGGCCTTTTTTTTTTTTTTTTTTGTTTGCCTTTGAGGGACCAGGTGCAGAATGGTGATTGAAAGAGGTCACACTGGTGGAAATGGATGGTGAAACTCAGGTTACAAGAAGCAGCAGCACAGTAACCCTAGGGGACTTTGTTGTTCTGCTGATCACCACACATCGGCTGGTCCCCAGGCTATAGGACTGCTGACTCACTTACTTTCCCTCAGAGCTGTAACTGTTGATGCTGCCATCAGTGGACTCCCGACTGGGCTGTCTCACCATCTTCCTCATTTCCGCTGCCATTCCTGTTTCTGTGCTTCTCTGAATGGTACTTTTTAACTTCTTGTGGCCCGACTCTGACAGGAGAGAGTAAAAGAAACCCTAAGTTCTATTTTTAGAWAGATTTTGCCCTGAATGTCAATAGGTCCTAAAAATACCATAGTGAATTTTCCTTGTAATTATACATTTCATCAGGAAAGTAGTAGTGTCAGAGAATAATTTGCTGAATTGAATCTCTTTATTAAAGGGTGCTTTGGCTAAAGTACAGCAGAAGGTGAACCATGGCMATAGTTCCAGACAGAACCCAAATGTCAATGTATCAAAATGAACTTAGTGTATTATGGCTGCTGAAAACATCAGTGAAAATTCAGATTTATCACCGAACAGGTTAGGTGAAAAGATAATATTGAACAAACCAATGGGTTTCTCCCAGTCTGGAACTCTCCAAGCTTGTGGGARCAGGTCATGTCCTTTAAAGAAAGGAACAGGTCATGTCCTTTAAAGAGACACTTCCAAGTATGAAAAATAACAGATTTGGTACCATGAGGTATTAGAAATTCTCATAAAGTGAAGCAGTAGKAATTTCTTTGATGATTTTCACAACATTTTAACTAGTTACATATGCATATAGATAACATGAGTAGATACAAGGTACCATCCTAATTCTAAGGCAACACAGCTTATCTCATGGCCTTTTGGTGCAGCATGACTTATGACTGGCAGTTCTGGGGTGTGTCTCCATTTGCACTGTGAATTATGCAGGCCTGTCATGTTCATGTTCTTGATACACTCTAAGTTCAGAGCAATTTCCTCGAGCCCCCCTGTGAAATGCACTAGCCAGTATTCTATTCATAGCATGRAAATGAAACTAAAACTTTTGATTATACATATGAGCAGCACCAATACTTCAGACAAACAAAGACTTTTTTTCCATCTGCATATTCTATAAGTATTTCGGGTTTGCTTTCTGTTTTCCGTATAGTATCATCCAATATCCATTAATAATATATGAAATGCTCTATAAATGTTACCTACAAAATACAAACATAAATGTCTTTCCTCAGAAATCCTCTGTRGAGTAGGTACACTCTTAGATATGCCATTTGAAAGGCAGCATTTCTTCCTCTAATTTTTGGTCAGTGAAATCCCTTTGTAAATTGTCTAGTCAAATATATAACAGACTCAGTATTGATGCTTTTTATATATTTTTTAGCAGGTTGATTAAATTTTTATTGCTTTATTGTTCTTAACTTTCTTATTGCTATTTTTGTTTCCAAGATCAGGGTAGGTATCAAATATTGAAGTATTCCATAAATTGAAAATTCCTTCTCACTTCATTTCTCTAAAGGATGATGGTGGTTAATAATTTAGGAGCTATTTTTCTTTATGCCCATGCTTGCTTTTCACTTTGCTTCTGTGATCAGTACTCTAATTTTTTGTCTTTTCTCACTGGTTGCTCCACTTCAGTATCTTATATGAGAACCTCTTCCTCTACAAGACTTTCAGATTTAGGAGGACTGAGCATTTAGACATTTGCAGTTTTTTCTACACTTGCTTCCCAAGTTATCCCAAGCAAGAACTTTTAGGCCTTCCAAATGTGTCTGCAGTCCAGTCCTACCCTTTCTCCTAAATGCCAGTCATTAATCTGACTGCCTAGTACCTCTTTAGGGGTCTGACAGGCATTCTAACATTAACATAGACAAAGTGGGACTGYTCCCCACCTCTGTCACCAACTACTCCCTCAGCAAATGGCACCTCCACTCAATTGTTCTGGTCAAATCCCTGTAGTCATCCTCAATTTCTCTTTGTAACACAACCTATGTCCAATAAATCAGCTAATCCATGTGCTTTTTTTTATTCAAATAGATCATAAATTTGATACTCTCCCTCCTCTCCACTGCTCCAGTCCCACTTCAAGCCACTCTCGTCACTCAGACAACTGCAATATCCACCATAGGAGCCTCACAGCTTGCATTCTTTTCTTCCTCAGAATATTTTCCACAAAATAGTTTCCGTGATTCAAAAGATGCGAATCTTAACATGTCACTCCTTTGCACAACATCTTATAAAGGCTCATCAACAAAATTAAGGAAACCTCAAATTTTTATCATGGCTCACAAAGTACTAAATAATTTGGCCCCAGATACCACCTTCTCTCTCTCATTCCATGTCCTTGTTCTCCAGCACACAGCCTTCCTTGCATGTCCTTGAACACTCCAGCATGCCTTCTCAGGGCCCTTCTTACTCACTGGCTGTCCCTTCTGTTCTTGCCTTGCTTCCTCACTTCATTCAGACCACTGCTTCAATGTCACCTCCTGAGAACAACTTCTTTTGATCCCTATCACTCTCTGTTCCCTTGTGCTTTGTTTTTCTTCATAGCACTGCTTTGTCTGCCATCAAACCACCATCTGTTTGTTGTATGTTTCCCAGTTAGAATCTAATTTCCATGAGGGCTGATGCATTCTGAGTATTTCTTCCTGTTAACTTGAGTATGCCCAGAATAGTGGTTATAAACTCTACTGTGCAAATTTTCTCATTCCATTCAGTATAACAGTTCTGCATTTATTCTTTATAAGATTGCACTGCTCCATTACAGTTATGTGGTTTCAAAATTAAGCCACCTATTTGTTGAAGGGCATTTTGATGTTTCCAGTTGTTATAGGAGAGTTTTTATAGAATAAATTCCTAGAAGTTGAAATGCTATAAAATGGCAGAAATGTTTAATATTAATAGGGATTTCTAAGTTGTTGTTTAAAAACAATGTAGCAATTTACAGTCCTACCAATATTCACATAGATGTCTCAATTTTCCCCACCTCTGACTCAAGAATTCCATTCATCATTTTTGGTGCGGCTTGCCCATCTGACTTGCTATGGTAGAYCACATATACTTATTGAAAGCAAGGAAATTCCTGCCTTGCTTCAGTTAGAGCCATTTAAAAAACTATTATTTCTTTTTTCTTTTGTAGTTGTAGATGGACAGCATGTCTTTATTTATTTTTTTACATGGAGCTAAGGATAGAACCCAGTGCCTYACATATGCTAGGCAAGTGCTCTGCCACTGAGCTACAGCCCCAGCCTGATATGGCCATTTTTTTAAAGGGAATTTAGTTTAGTTTTGGTGGTTATTCATTTTTATGTTATTCCTTCTTCTTAGATGTAGTTCATTTAAGAAGTCACTGTGGGCAGAGCAACATTACATTCATGTCCATAATACAATAGTTAGACTCTAGTGAGCAACAGGTCATGTGTATACAGATTGAGTATCCCTAATCCAAAAATCTGAAATGCTCCAAATTTCAAACTTTTTGAGTGCTGACACAGTGCCATGCCTGATTTCATGTGATGAGTTGCAATCAAAATKCAGGTGCACTGAAAATACTGTATTCTAACTTCAGGTTATGAATATATGGTATATATGAAGCATAAATGAAACTTGTGTTTAAATGTGGGTCCTGTCTCCAAGTATGTCATTTTATATATGTATGCAAATATTCAAAAATCTGAAAAAATATAGAAGCTGAAATGCTTCTGATCCTGAGCATTTCAGAGAATGGATGCTTAACGTACATCACCAAAGTACTGAACCAGATACACTTATAACAAATGTTTACCAAAGGCAGTGTGAGGCAATACAGACATGGTGGAATATCAATTCTTACTAAAAATAATGAGAATCTTAGCTAGAAAAATCCATCCACCCAACAATTATTTATGAAGCACCTACTATGTGTCATTAGCATCCTAGATACTGGGGATATATTAATGAATGACAAATTTCCTGCTCTTATGAAGCTTACATTCTACAGGAAAGGCAATGAACAATTAATGATATAATATGGGTGGTAATAATTGCTATGGAAAAATATTAGGCAGTATAAGGGGGTAGAGCATGATGGGTAAAGCAGCAACAGTTTTATTTAAAAGGAACCAGGTGTCATTAGGTAGGAGTATGGAGGAAGTGAGGACACAAGCCATGAAGCAGGGAAGAGGCAAGCAGCGCACTGCAGGACAGTCGTGGCGACTGGTGGAGAGGCCTGGAGGTCTGGAGGCGGTGGTTGTCTTACAGTAGTGCACAGGTTCCCAAGCTTCCTCTCCAGTCTTCCTAATATCTGCTGGTGTTCACTCTGGCCCAGAGATTGTTGCCAAAGATCTCAGGGCTCTATGGATGGCTGATTGTCCAGATGACCATTGACTGTAGACTGTCAAGACCTGATTTTTCTTGCATTTACTAACACAGGTTTCAAAGGATTGTCATTCACTACATATTTGTTCAATGAATGACTAGAAACATTTTAAAATGGAATGATCTTTATTAGTTTGTTTGTAATTTTTAATTGAGATTTCCAGATTTTTTTAAAGAGGAGTACATCTACAGAGCATCCCAAAATTCTTAGGTTGGGTTTTATGCCTTAATATTTTCCAAAGTGTACACGCTACACACACTGGATAAACACCATTTGAGAGGTTAGTTATTAAACTTTCTATTGTACTTACCTAAGTTTGTGAATTTGAGTACCTTCATAATTGTAAAGTTTTTGTTTTAGTCTGGTGGGAGATGGCAGATGGACTGCTATCTAGCTGTTGTCTTATTCATATAAATAGATATTCAATGAAAAGAGCTTTGACAGGTTAAGCAATGTCAAGGCCCAGGTAGAGATTGAATAAACAGTCCCAGCTTTGAATATGTCTTATTTAAATTCATAAGGGCTCTAATATTAAATTGGAATGTGAGGGTTGGCAGAAGTTCTGTTTTATACATGTTTTATATTTTTGAAAACTATAAATCTGGATAAATGTAATTCATGCAACATATTTGTTCAGCACTGATTCTGGGTCYAGTTTCTTTTAGATACTGGTGATAGAGCAGTAATCCCAACAGACAAAATTGCCTGCCCAAGTGGAGCTTACATTCTAGAGGACAATATGGCTCAACATCATGTCAGCAGCAAAAGCAGGATGAGAAACATGACTTTCTGAATCTCAGTCTTGTGATCATTCCAATATACCACAGTTCAAGAAAACACAAGAATGGTCTTATTTATTTAGCAAACATAAAAATGTTTTAGTCATACAGA